CCCCTTCGCCACCGCATGCCCCTTCCCCACCGCATGCCCCCTTCCCCACCGCATGCCCCCTTCCCCACCGCATGCCCCTTCCCCACGCATGCCCCCTTCGCCCACCGCATGCCCCTTCCCACCGCATGCCCCCTTCGCCCACCGCATGCCCCTTTCGCCCACCGCATGCCCCTTCGCCCACGCATGCCCCCTTCGCCCACCGCATGCCCCTTCCCCACCATGCCCCTTCGCCCACCGCATGCCCCCTTCCCCACCGCATGCCCCTTCCCCACGCATGCCCCCTTCCCCACCGCATGCCCCCTTCCCCACCGCATGCCCCCTTCGCCCACCGCATGCCCTTCGCCCACCGCATGCCCCTTCCCCACCGCATGCCCCCTTCCCCACCACATGCCTTCGCCACCGCATGCCCCCTTCGCCCACCGCATGCCCCTTCCCCACCGCATGCCCCCTTCGCCCACTGCATGCCCCCTTCCCCCACGGCATGCCCCCTTCGCCCACCGCATGCCCCCTTCCCCCACCGCATGCCCCCTTCCTCCACTCCACGGCATGCCCCCTTCGCCCACTGCATGCCACCTTCCTCCATCGCATGCCCCCTTCGCCCATCGCATGCCCCCTTCGCCCACCGCATGCCCCCTTCGCCCATCGCATGCCCCCTTCCCCCACCGCATGCCCCCTTCCCCACTGCATGCCCCCTTCGCCATCGCATGCCCCCTTCGCCCACCGCATGCCCCCTTCCCCACCGCATGCCCCCTTCCCCCACCGCATGCCCCTTCGCCCACTGCATGCCCCTTCCCCACGGCATGCCCCCTTCGCCCACCGCATGCCCCCTTCCCCCACCGCGTGCCCCCTTCGGCCACCGCATGCCCCCTTCCCTCCACGCATGCCCCCTTCGCCCACTGCATGCCCCCTTCCTCCATCGCATGCCCCCTTCGCCCATCGCATGCCCCCTTCGCCCACCGCATGCCCCATTCGCCCACCGCATGCCCCCTTCCCCCACGGCATGCCCCCTTCGCCCACCGCATGCCCACTTCCCCACCGCATGCCCCCTTTCCCCACCGCATGCCCCCTGCCCCCACGGCATGCCCTCTTCGCCCACCGCATGCCCGCTTCCCCACCGCATGCCCCCTTCCCCACCGCATGCCCCCTTCCTCCACGGCATGCCCCCTTCGCCCACTGCATGCCCCCTTCCTCCATCGCATGCCCCCTTCGCCCATCGCATGCCCCCTTCGCCCACCGCATGCCCCCTTTCCCCACGCATGCCCCCTTCCCCCACCGCATGCCCCCTTCCCCACCGCAGCCCCCTTCGCCCACCGCATGCCCCCTTCTCCCACCGCATGCCCCCTTCCCCATGGCATGCCCCCTTCCCCCACCGCATGCCCCCTTCCCCCACCGCATGCCCCCCTTCCCCCACCGCATGCCCCCTTCGCCCACCACATGCCCCCTTTCCCCACCGCATGCCCCCTTCCCCCACGCATGCCCCCTTCCCCACGCATGCCCCCTTCGCCCACCGCATGCCCCCTTCCTCCACCGCATGCCCCCTTCGCCCACCGCATGCCCCTTCGCCCACCGCATACCCCCTTCGTCCACCGCATGCCCCCTTCCCCCACCGCATGCCCCCTTCGCCCACGGTATGCCCCCTTCGCCCACCGCATGCCCCCTTCCTCCACCGCATGCCCCCTTCGCCCACCGCATGCCCCTTTCGCCCACCGCATACCCCCTTCGCCCACCGCATGCCCCCTTCCCCCACCGCATGCCCCCTTCACCCACCGCATGCCCCCCTTCGCCCACCGCATGCCCCCTTCCCCACCGCATGCCCCCTTCGCCCACAGCATGCCCCTTCCTCCACCGCATGCCCCCTTCGCCCACCGCATGCCCCTTTCGCCCACCGCATGCCCCCTTCGCCCATCGCATGCCCCCTTCGCCCACCGCATGCCCCCTTCCCCCACCGCATGCCCCTTCACCCACCGCATGCCCCCTTCACCCACCGCATGCCCCCTTTCCCCACCGCATGCCCCCTTCCCCACGGCATGCCCCCTTCCCCCAGCGCATGCCCCCTTCCTCCACCGCATGCCCCCTTCGCCCACTGCATGCCCCTTTCGCCCACCGCATGCCCCCCTTCGCCCATCGCATGCCCCCTTCGCCCACCGCATGCCCCCTTCTCCCACCGCATGCCCCCTTCCCCCACCGCATGCCCCCTTCGCCCACCGCATGCCCCCTTCCCCCACCACATGCCCCCTTCGCCCACGGCATGCCCCCTTCGCCCACCGCTTGCCCCTTTTCTCCACCGCATGCCCCCTTCGCCCATCGCATGCCCCCTTCCCCCACCGCATGCCCCCTTCCCCCACTGCATGCCCCCTTCGCCCATCGCATGCCCCCTTCGCCCACCGCATGCCCCCTTCCCCCACCGCATGCCCCCTTCCCCCACCGCATGCCCCCTTCCCCCACCGCATGCCCCCTTCCCCCACCGCATGCCCCCTTCCCCCACCGCATGCCCCCTTCGCCCACCGCATGCCCCCTTTCCCCACCGCTTACCCCTTCCCCCACCGCATGCCCCTTCGCCCACGGTATGCCCCCTTCGCCCACCGCATGCCCCCTTCCTCCACCGCATGCCCCCTTCGCCCACCGCATTCCCCTTTCGCCCACCGCATGCCCCCTTCGCCCACCGCATGCCCCCTTCCCCCACGGCATGCCCCCTTCGCCCACCGCATGCCCCCTTCCCCCACCGCATGCCCCCTTTCCCCACCACATGCCCTCTTCGCCCACCGCATGCCCCTTCGCCCACCGCATGCCCCCTTTCCCCACCGCTTGCCCCCTTCCCCCACCACATGCCCCCTTCGCCTACGGCATGCCCCCTTCGCCCACCGCATGCCCCTTTCCTCCACCGCATACCCCCTTCCCCCACTGCATGCCCCCTTCGCCCACCGCATGCCCCCTTCGCCCACCGCATGCCCCCTTCCCCCACCGCATTCCCCCTTTCCCCACCACATGCCCTCTTCGCCCACCGCATGCCCCCTTCGCCCACCGCATGCCCCCTTCCCCCACCGCATGCCCCCTTCGCCCACTGCATGCCCCCTTCCCCCACGGCATGCCCGCTTCGCCCACCGCATGCCCCCTTCCCCCACCGCATGCCCCCTTCCCCCACCGCATGCCCCCTTCGTCCACGGCATGCCCCCTTCGCCCACTGCATGCCCCCTTCCTCCATCGCATGCCCCCTTCGCCCATCACATGCCCCCTTCGCCCACCGCATGCCCCCTTCCCCCACCGCATGCCCCCTTTCCCCACCGCATGCCCCCTTCCCCCACGGCATGCCCCCTTTGCCCACCGCATGCCCCCTTCCTCCACCGTGTGCCCCCTTCCCCCACTGCATGTTGCCAAGTAGTGCCGAATAGCGCCAAATAGTGCGGAATATCCGGTTGTCGAATATTTGACGAAACCGAATATCTGCAGCGCGAATAATGACCAATAGCAAGAGCTAGTTGTATTCGCCAAATATCGAGGTATTCGCTGGAAGATCGAATGGTGCCGGAATATCGAATGGTGTCCGAATATCGAATGGTGCCCGAATATCGAATGGTGCCCGAATATCGAATGGTGCCCGAATATCAAAGACTTCATTTACAGGCCTATCCGTAAGGCACCCTCTCTCTTCGCCCCCTTTGCCTTGAGGGCTAATGGCAGGCCTTCAAAACCTTCCCTCCCCCACTCCCTCATCCCGCCTCTCTCCCCCCCTTCCAGTGCCAACGCGGGTCAGCCCCTCCCCATGCCCCCGCCATCCACCGACCCCCTGCTCCCCCCTGGGTCCCAAACCACCCTCGCTCTGCGCCGCCTGTGCCTCAAGGACCAACGGCAGGCCGCCATGTGGCAGCCAGTCATGGAGGCGTGTGGGGGGACACTGGGGACGCTCATTCTGGGGAGGAACACGGGCAATTGGGACGCGGCTATAGAGGGGCTGGTGGCGAGGAACAAAACGGCAGTTCTGAAACAGGTGAGGCAGGAGGTAGCAGCGATGGTGGCATGTGGGGGGGCGCTGGGGACGCTCATTCTGGGGGGGACACGGGGAGCTGGGACGGGACGTGGCTATGGAGGGACGGCTGGCGGCGAGGAACAAATCAGAGGTGCGAAAACAGGTGAGGAGTGAGGTATGGATGGTGAAAAGGGTAAGCTTTAGGGAATTGGGACGTGGCTGTGTAGGGTGGCTTGTGGCTAAAAACAAAGCGGCTGTCTTGAAACAGGTGGGAACGGAGGAATGGGTGGTGAGGAGATCAGTGTGGTGAGCCGGGTGGTGTCACAATTCAGCAGCCTTCTCGTGCTCCACACCTTACCCGTCAATACAGCGGCAAATACAAAAGAATTGAGGTGCGTGGATTATATCACTGGTATGTATGTGTAGTAGAGCGGCTGGTCTTCCTCCCTTGACCTCCAGCATGCCTTTTCTATGTCCCTCCTCTACCTCCTTATCTTCCCAATCCGCCCCTCTCCTAGCTTCTCTTTCAACAGCTGCTGGTTGAAAAGACTCTCCTCTTGGGCCGTTCTCTCCATTCTCTTTCCCAGTTCCGTACCACCCTCCCTCTCCCCGCTCTGCTCTCCCCTCTCCCCGTTCCGCTCTCCCCTCTCCCCTCTCCACTCTCCCCTCTCCGCTCTCCCCTCTCCGCTCCCCCTCTCCGCTCTCCCCTCTCCGCTCTCCCTCCTCCCTCCCTCTTTCCCACAGCTGCTTGTTGAGGATACCAAGGTGCAAAAAAACAGCGTTTTTTTTCATAATTTGACCGCATGGTACAGTACCGAAGATTTTCAGCCGTTTAATACAATAAAAACGGTCAGAAGCGCCAAAATGGGGGTGGTGCAAAAAAAACGGCCTTTTTTTTTACCAGCCTGGAATATATGGCCGAAAAGCGCGGATCTGGCATTTTGACCGTCGAAGTGCGCGGATTTCGCGTTTCGGCTTGTGAAATGCGCGGATCTGGCATTTCGCCTCCAGAAATGTGCGGACCTCGCACTTCGCCTGCCAAATTGCATGGGTCTCGCGCATCGGTGGGCGAAATGTTAGATCTGCGCATTTCACCTGCCGAGATGCGCGGATCTGTAATGTGTGTGGATCCGCAAAAAAAAAAAAAAAAAAAAATCCAAAAAAAAAAAAAAAAAAAAACCCGAAGTTCAAACAAAAAAACGGCGTTTTTTCATAAAATGGCCGGAAAATACGATCACTGTATTTTTGCACCTTGGAGAATACCCTCCTCTCGGGCCGCTCCTGCACGCCCTCGCCCAGTGCCCCCATCTCCAGCTGATGGGCATCGTGCATCCGCCGCACTGCACTGATGCCCGCATGCCTGCTGCGCTTACTGTGGTTGCCTTCGGCTGCTGGGTGTTGCCCGCAGCTGTGCTGCAACTGACCCACCTCTCTCCCCTGCTTTCCTACCTCCCCAACCCCCCCACCTCCACCTCTCCATGTCTCCTTTCAGTTATTGGTGGAGAAGACCCTTCTTTCAGATCGCTCCCTCCATGCTTTGGCCCAGTGCCCCGGTCTCGAGCTCATGGGCATCGTGCATTCGCCGCACTGCACCGACGCTGGCATGGCTGCTGTGGCTGCTGGGTGCCCCCAGCTGCGGTGGGTTCACATCGACGGGTGGTCCTCGGGGCACATTGGGGATGCTGGATTGACTGCCATCGCCAAGCACTGCAGTCAGCTGCAGGTAACATGTCGACTGTAACACTGCAACAAGCATGGGGACATGCTGGTGGTGCTGTGGCTGGTGGATGCCCCTGGCTGCGGGGGGTGCACATCAGTGGGCTTGTCGTAAGGGCACATTGGAGATGCTGGGTTATCAGCCATCGCCAAGCATTGCAGTCCGCTTCAGGTGAGATGCCAGCTGCTGTGCCTGCTGGGTGTCGTCACCCGCACTGGGTGCTGGGTATCGTCACCCGCACTGTGTGCTGGGTATCGTCAACTGCACTGGGTGCTGGGTATCGTGACCTGCACTGGGTGCTGGCTATCGTCACCTGCACTGGGTGCTGGGTGCTGTCACCTGCACTGGTTGCTGGGTGTCGTCACCTGCACTGGGTGCTGGGTGTCGTCACCTGCACTGGTTGCTGGGTGTCGTCACCTGCACTGGGTGCTGGGTGTCGTCACCTGCACTGGGTGCTGGGTGTCGTCACCTGCACTGGGTGCTGGCTATCGTCACCTGCACTGGGTGCTGGGTGCTGTCACCTGCACTGGTTGCTGGGTGTCGTCACCTGCACTGGTTGCTGGGTGTCGTCACCTGCACTGGTTGCTGGGTGTCGTCACCTGCACTGGGTGCTGGGTGCTGTCACCTGCACTGGTTGCTGGGTGTCGTCACCTGCACTGGGTGCTGGGTGTCGTCACCTGCACTGGGTGCTGGGTGTCGTCACCTGCACTGGGTGCTGGCTATCGTCACCTGCACTGGGTGCTGGGTGCTGTCACCTGCACTGGTTGCTGGGTGTCGTCACCTGCACTGGGTGCTGGGTGTCGTCACCTGCACTGAGTGCTGGGTGTCATCACCTGCTCTGGGTGCTGGGTGTCGTAATCGGCACTGGGTGCTGGTGTCGTCACCTGCACTGGGTGCTTGGTGTCGTCACCTGTACTGGGTGCTGGTGTCATCACCTGCACTGGGTGCTGGTGTCATCACCTGCACTAGGTGCCACATTGGTGGATGGCTGCCTGGGCAAGCAACCAAACAACCTCACTTACCTCTCAAGGCAACTGCAACCCCCTTCCCCCCCCTGTCATCCCCAACAGGACCTGGTCATAGTGGGGGGCTCCTGCACCCTCGCCTCTCTGCAACAACTCGCATCCGGCTGCCCCAATCTCGACCGCCTCACTCTCTGCTACATGCGCTCCATAGGCGACGACGAGGCGTCCTGCATTGCCACGTCGTGCCGCAAGCTGCGCCGCCTCTGCCTGCTCGCCTGCCCCAACATCACTGACGCAGCCGTCCTTTTCCTCGCCACGGGCTGCCCGAGCCTCGCCACGTTGAAGCTTCGACGCTGCCCGCTGGTGACCCGGGCAGCGCTGGACATGTTGCATGAGGCACGGCCAGAGATAGAGATCAGTGATGAGGAGTCGGCAGCGAATGCACAGGGGGAGCAGGGGGAGGGGGGAGGAACTGGGGTTGCTGCTGGTGCTGCTGGTGCTGCTGCTGGTGCTGCTGCTGGTGCTGCTGCTGGTGCTGCTGCTGGTGCTGCTGCTGGTGCTGCTGCTGCTGCTGGTGCTGGTGCTGGTGCTGGTGCTGGTGCTGGTGCTGGTGCTGGTGCTGGTGCTGGTGCTGGTGCTGGTGCTGGAACTGGTGCTGGTGCTGGTGCTGGTGCTGGTGCTGGTTCTGGTTCTGGTGTTGTTGGTGTTGCTGGTGCTGCTGGTGCTCCTGTTGCTGGTAGTGCTGCTGCTGGTGCTGGTGCTGCTACTGCCTCAACCGCTTCTGCTGTTGGCAGAGAGCGAAGCACAAGTGCCGCGGCAGAAGCAGCAGCATCTGCCGGAGTGTCACCAGCAGCCGTGGCAGCAGTCACAGCAGCAGCTGTCATCGCTGTAGCAAGCAGGGTGCACCCTGTGCCTCTTGCTGCTGCCCCTCCTGCGGCTGCTGCAGCACCTCCTTCTCCTGCTCGCACTGCTCTTTCCCCATCTTCCCCGTCTCGTTTGGCTCCTGCAGTCGCCTCTGTTACTCGTGACGGTGCTGCCGGTGTTGTTGGTGCGGCTGGTGGTGTTGGTGCTGCTGGTGTTGTTGGTGCTGCCAGTGCTGGTGCTGCTGGTGGTGGTGCTGGTGCTACTGGTGCTTTCCCTCCCAGTATTGCAAGCCCTGGTGTTGATAGCAGAGAAGCCATGGGAACAAGTCATAGGGCCATGACTCAAGCTCCAGAGGCACATGCACATGGGCATGGGCATGGGCATGGGCATGGGCATGGGCATGGGCATGGGAATGGGCACACTCACACTCAATACACTTACTCTCAACCCACTCACACTCACCCCACTCACTCTCAACTCACTCGCTCTCTCCCCACGCACTCTCACCCCAACCACTCTCTCCCCACACACTCTCACCCCACCCACTCTCTCCCCATGCACTCTCACCCCACTCACTCTCTCCCCACTCACTCTCAACCCACTCACACTCACCCCACTCACTCTCAGGCCCCTCACTCTCAGGCCCCTCACTCTCAGGCCCCTCACCCCGGTCCATCTCACACTGCCGCTCTACCACCCATCTCTTATGCTGCTGGATCTTCAGCCGCAGCAGCAGCTAGTCAAACAACAGCAGCAGCAACAACAGCAGCAGGAGGAGCAGCAGCAGGAGGAGCAGCAGCAGCACCAGCAGCTACGGGAACAGCAGTAAGGGGAGGCAGGAGCATGCAGGAAGGGGAGGAGGCAAGGGAGGCTCCAGGGAGGGGGGTGGCGAAGGGCAAAGGGAAACTAACTGCTCTCTTTCAAGATGCTGTGAGGAGGCTCACAGGGGGGGGCAGGGGAAGCAGCAGCGGCAGGAGTGAGAGTGACGGGGGGCACATGGTGGAGAGAATGAATGCTCAGGCGCACCCCCAGGGGGGGTTAGTGGCCACGCACACGCAGACACAGCCGCCTCAGTTACCTGCGTTCATGCAGCGACTTGCACAACATGGGCGGTAGCAGTGGCAGCAGCAGCAGCAGCAGGGGCGGCGGCAGTGGCGGCAGCAGCAGCAGTAGCATTAGCTGCAGCAGTAGCAGCAGCAGCAGTGGCAGCGGTAGCAGTAGCGGCAGCACCAGCAGCAGTAGCAGCAGCCGCAGCAGCAGCTGCAGCAGAGGCAGGAGCATGGGCAGGAGTGGGAGTGATGGGGGAAACATGGTGGAACGATTGAATGCGCAGGCGCACACCCAGGGAGGCTTGGTGGCCACGCACACGCAGACACAGCTGCCTCAGTTACCTGCGTTCATGCAACGACTTGCCTCACATGGCCGTTAGGAGTGGCAGCAGTAGGAAGGTTGTTGTGATAGATGCAAACACTCGCACGCGGACACAGCCGCATAAATTACCTGTGTTCATGCAGAATTTTGTGCCACATGGCCGTCAGGAGTAACAGTACCAGCAGCAGCAGTCGCAGTGGGAGCGGCAGTGGGAATGGGAGTGGAAATGATGGGGGCCACACGATGGGAATGATGGGGGCCACATGGTGGGAATGATGGGGGCCACATGGTGGGAAGAGTGAATGTGGCACACCCCAAGAGGGCTTGGTAGCCGCACAGATGCAGACGGGTGCCGCCGATGCCTGTGTTCATGCAGAAACTTGCGCCTGGTGGTCCATATGGGCGTTAGGGGGATGGCAGCAACAGCAGTAGGAAGGTTGTTCTAAACAGAGATACAAACACCAGATGCAGACCATGAAATTGAACAGAAATGTATTGCTTGAAACATACCGTATTCCCCCGTATAAAGCACCCTATGGTGTTAATAAAAATGCATGAAATTTTTGGGATGGGTGTAATTTAAGGCAAACAAGTGTCGACTAAATCGTCTTAGGGTTGCGGAGCTATCTTTGCCGGTTTGGCAATTTTATTAATGTTATTTTGCATTTAACATCGAGATTATGACTCTTATCATTTGATGTGATATTTTTTTACAATTGTGCATCAGTCTTATTATATTTCGTAATATACATCATTGTTTGTCATCACTGTACATCTGATGTTTTAATAGCGCAACACTTTTTTTTTCCAGGTTTTCGGAAATCGAGAAATGCAAAAGGTGCCAGGTATCGAACCGAGGTCATCATTGAGCTACCCTTTATGCTATCCTAAGATATCAATTCAGCAGAACTAAAATATTATTTTCAATTTATTTGTGACAAATCAGAATACTCCCTAGGGTTTCGTTTTTTTCTTGCCTCGTCCCCAGCCTCCCTTCTCACGTTGAAGTTTCAGCCACGCCACCTCGCCACCTAGTTTCCTACCCAACGTAAGTCGTTCTTGGTGTTCCCTTATCTATTTTTAAATTTGTTTTCCGTCTCTTTTAGTAAGGGGTATCAATCTCGTGATTGATGGGGGAATGGCAACGGGATTGATGGGGGGAATGGCGACGGACTTGACGGGGGGGATGGTGACGGGATTGACGAGGGAATGGCGACGGGATTGGCGACGGGATTGACGAGGGATTGGCGACGACGGCATTGACAGCGGGGGACGACGGGATTGATGAGGGGATTGGCGGGGACTCTCTCTCGCTCTCTCACTACCTCTTACATTTTGCCCCCTCCCCCCTCCCCATCTCTCTCTCTCTCTGTTTCTCTCTCTCTCTCTCTCTCTCTCTCTCTCTCTCTCTCTCTCTCTCTCTCTCTCTCTCTCTCTCTCTCTCTCTCTCTCTCTCTCTCTCTACCTCTCTTGCTCTCTCTATATATACCTCTCTTTCTACATCCTTCGTGATTTATGTTTTTGTCTCTCTCTCCCTTCTCTCTCTCTCTCTCTCTCTCTCTCTCTCTCTCTCTCTCTCTCTCTCTCTCTCTCTCTCTCTCTCTCTCTCTCTCTCTCTCTCTCTCTCTCTCTCTCTCTCTCTCTCTTTCAAGCGGTCCTTTGTATTGATTTGAAACGTTGTACATACTAGGCATGTGGGCAAACATCAGAGCCTATCAAAGGTACGTGCATACTGGGGGTGGGCGGCCGGACTACTGATGCTCCCCAAGGGGCTCTGCTATGGCAAAACAGTCCCCGAGGGCCATAATGGCATCCGGGGTACCCACGGGGGGGTACTCCGCCGGGGCAGCCTCGTTGACCTTCCCAAGGAAGGCCAGGGCCTGTGTCCGCTGGAGCGTGACGGACTAGCGCTGGCGGGACTAATGCAGAAGCTTCGCCGCCTGGTAGGAGCTCGGGTCCGCGTTGAAAAGCCGCCTTGCCCCTGTATCCGCCAGGAGCTTCAAAAGCTGGGAACCTCGGCGCAGGGGCAGCCATAGGTCTCCACGGCCAAGGGGAAGAAACCGACCTAAGGTGCGCGGTTGCGGTAGTGGTCGATCTTCTTGTCGGCCTGCTCCCGGGCCATATATCCCCGCCCTTTTCGTGCGTGCGGGTCCCAGGTGCTGATGGGATCCGTGACAGTGACGTCACAGATCCAGACGGCACCAGAGTCCCTGTCGCGCATGGCTAAGTCGGCCTCATGACCGTCCACCGGACTGTAGATAGTGGTCTCCTTGGTGACGATGAACCCGGCATCCCGCGCCATACGGATGCATTCGTCGCGAAGTGCATTGTGGGTGTCTGTCCGGCCATGCCCCGTGCCGCAGCGGAAGAGGTGGTTGGGCAGGTGGGGGTCAAGGATCTCGGTCTCGTCTGCGCAGTTGCAGTTGCGGGGGGCTGGGAAGGGGAGGCCGAGACGGAAGGCGAGGGCGATAGCAAAGTGCGGTGGTCCGAGGCGGAGAGAGGGGAAGATGGGGATGGCATGAATTCAACTCCCCTGCCCAGTAACCTGCCAGGGAGAATAGGCGCTGGGTGTGGCCGGAGCAAGGGTTCAGTTCCATCCCGCGGGACGCTGCCACCTGGTCCGCATATCGGGCGGCTTGGACCTCAAGAGAGAGCCGGTGCTGGAGTGGGATTCCAGATGGTTCCTGGCGTTCGGACCGCAAGAGCTCTAGAGCACGGGTCGGCAGGGCCGCCTCACACCCTGCCAGCCAGTTATGGAGATGGTAGGGGCTAGAGAAGGGGGGGGGTGAGGGGGCGCAGTGCGGATGCCAGGGGCCCCTCGTTTGCTGCGGGCATGGCGGTGAGGAGGTGCTGCGCCTGGGTGACGCTAGTTAGGAAGGCTGCGGGGCCTTCAATGGCGGGGTCGGTGAGGCCCAGCCCGTTGAGCGAGGGCGGAAGTTAGGCCTGGGCCCAAGTTCGCGTGCGTTCGGCTTCCCCTCGAGGGGGTTGGAGGTTGCGCGCGCGGAGGAGGGTGTGGAATAGCCCCCGTCCCCACTCCGACCACTCGGTTTGTGGGAGGAGATCCAGGGGCGTGGTGCGGATCAGGTAGCTGACCCGCCGCGAGATGCATCGCGTAAGGAGGAGAGATGCCGATTGGGGGTCCATGGAGGCGATGGTGGGGAGTGGCTCGGCCAGCGAGGCTAGCTGGGAATGGAGGAAACTAGCTGAGCCCTCAGTTGTCCCAACAAAGCTCCCCAGCACTTGTAGCCCCTCGCTGTGGAAAGGAACGTCCGGGGGAATGGAGTCGAATGGGGGAGGTGAGGAGGACCACGCCCCACACTTTGAGGGGTTGTGCGTAAGGCCGATGGCCCCCACGGCGCCCGTGAAGTGGTGGAAGGCCGCTGTGCAGGCGGCCGGCTCGCCGACGAACGTCACGTCATCCGCGTAGGCGAGGCAGAGGACGTCGGGGTGGGTGGTAGCCGTAGATTGAAGCGCGGGGTGGATGGCCGCCGCAAAGAGCAAGGGGCCCATTGGGTCCCCTTGGCGGACGCCCCGTGCGCTCTGGAGTGGGGGGCTGGCGAACCCGTCGTTGAGGTATAGAAGCGAGGGGGTGCCATACGAAAATTGGATAAATGGTAACAACGGTCGCAGGAGTGAGGCGCCGATGGCGGTGATGATCGCCCCTCGCTCAACGCTATTAAACGCGTTTGTGAGGTCCACTTGGACGACCAAGGTCGCCGGATTTGCGGAGGTGAAAGCCCGAGTGGCGTGGATGATCGCTTCCCTGCCGCTCCGAATTGCGACGCCGTACTGAAGGGGCAGAAAAAATTCTTGTGCGTGCTGGGTGGTCAAGATGAGGGCGGATTTTGCGGCGAGGCGATGGAGACATTCGCCTATAGCTATGGGGCGTGAGCCACCATCAGGCTTGCGAAGGGCTAGGAGGCGTGATGCTGTAAGCAGCCGGCTGACCTCCTAGGGCAGGTTACTAGCAAGGAGGAGCAGCACGATTTCGTGCAGGAGCTTAGCGACGTGTGGACTGGTGAGCGAGGCGTCACGCAGGTGTTCGAATGTCATCCCCGAAGGGCCGGCTCCCACCCCATTTTCGCTTCGCGAAAGTAGGCGAATGAAATCGGCGAAGTCGAGCGCGAGTGGGTTGACGTCGTCCAGGGAGGGCCACGTGAGGTCCTCCGTCAACGGCCGCGGGTGTTTGAACTTCAGCAAGTCAAGGACCTCCGGGGTTGACTCGCTGACTGGGGTCGACTGGAGTGCCAGCACGGCACGGCGAAGACTGCCTCGTCGCACCAGCCCCTCAGCTTGGGAGATTTTCCCGAGGTCGTCACGAACATGGCGAGGGGGTGCAGGCAGTGCGACAGCTGCTGCAGCTGACTGGTAGAGGGCGTCCCACTGGCCCGCGAGGAACTGCTGCAACGATATTCCATCGCTGTCCAGTCCGGTCGTTTGGGCGAGGACATGCGAAGAGTTAGGCGGGAGAGAAATAGTAACAACTGCCAGCCCCCGATGGAAGTTGGATTTTTCGCGAGGAAAAGGAGGGGCGTCAGCAGGGCCAGCGCGAACAGCTGACGAATAGGGGCGGGTAGTCGCCTTGAAAGAGGGGGCTGGCGACTGTCGCACAGCACCGCGATATCCCAGCTGGCTATTTGGGCAAATCGTGAGGCATCGCTGGCCAGTTCCTCCGGGGAAAATTGCCTGGCTGCCTGGGAGGGAGCGTCCAGTGGTGTCCGAACATTTGGTACTCCCACCAGTCCGGTACTCTCTCTATACCTCTCTTTCTATCTCTTTCTTGATCTCTAATTCTCTCTCTCTCTCTCTCTCTCTCTCTCTCTCTCTCTCTCTCTCTCCTCTCTCTCTCCTCTCTCTCTCTCCTCTCTCTCTCTCTCTCTCTCTCCTCTCTCTCTCTCTCTCTCTCTCTCTCTCTCCTCTCTCTCTCTCCTCTCTCTCTCTCTCTACCTCACTTGCTCTCTCTATATACCTCTCTTTCTCCTCGTTCTAGATCTCTTCTCTCTCTCTCTCTCTCTCTCTCTCTCTCTCTCTCTCTCTCTCTCTCCTCTCTCTCTCTCCTCTCTCTCTCTCTACCTCACTTCTCTCTCTATATACCTCTCTTTCTTCCTCTCTTCTCTCTCCCTCTCTCTCTCTCTCCTCTCTCTCTTCTCTCTCTCTCTCTCCTCTCTCTCTCTCTCTCTCTTCTCTCTCTTCTCTCTCTTCTTCTCCCTCTTCTCTGTTTCTCTCTCTCTCCATCTCTCCTCTCTCTCTCTTCTCTCTCTCTCTCTCTCTCTCTCTCCTCTTCTCTCTCTTCTCTCTCTCTCTCTCTCTCTCTCTCTCTCTCTGAACATGCCTGAGACAGACATACCTACCTGCCCTCACCCAAATTTTTTTCGTCCAAATCCCCAACGGCCAGAGTCAAGTCCTTTCACACACCCCCGCCCCGCAACCTATATAATCTGGCTAAGTCCTAGCAGCCAGAGACAGCTCCCCCCAGCACAACCAGCAGCGCGTAAAAATTGTTGAAGTCCTGTTCTAGAGACACCCCTCTCATACCCCCAACACCCACAAAAGACTGACTATGTGACTAAGACTGACATACTGCACCTACCTGCCCTGAACCCAAAAAATTCGACTAAGTTCCCAGCCACCAGAGTCAAGTCCTCCTCTCACACACCCAGCAACCTATAAATTTCGGCCAGAGACAGTTCCCCCGCACACCTAGCAACCCATAAAATTTGTTGAAGTCCTGCTCTAGAGGCACCCCTCTCACACCCCCACCTACCCACGAAAATCGGCTAGGTCTTCCATTTTTAGGGACATTCTTTCCACAGCCCTTTCGCCTTTATTTTTTCTTTTCGAAGTTCTCTCAGGGGCTGACACAAGTCCCTCGACAACCAATCACACATTTGCAAGGACAGCTTGTAGACAGACTTTCGATTCGACGTGCTTCAGGGCGTGTGTCTACGTGACATAAGGAATACGCTAAATCGTGTCAATTCGTAATTGACTGGCGAATCTGACAAGCAAAATCTTGAATGAAGCGAAGTTGCCCGACAACGTGTCGCGTAAGTTCTTACTAAGAACACGCCTTCACAATGTCGGCTTTGCGACACGTCACAACAAGCTCGGCCTCGGCATTTGCAGAACGCGAGTGCTTTGGAATATTTGCGTAAATATCCCACAAATTTATGAAATTTTATGGGGGAAATGAACCAGCCCCCAACAAGTTTTGCACGTCATCATACTTGCGCACTCGGAAGTGGAGAACTTTGTGGGGGAACTTGAACTTGGGGGATTGAACAGGTGTCGGGTTCCCACCCAGAGCCACATTAGATAAGGGGCCACGTGTGTGTGTACAGACTCCGTCAATCTACGTAATCATTTACGGCCCTTTTTTTCCGTCAACTTAGACGCGTCGACTCTGATTCGACATTTTGAACCCTGGGTATTTCAGACTAGTCAACTTTTGGATACTGAGATTTCAGAGTAGGCAAAATTTGGAAAATGGTCCTTCAGACTTGCGGAATTTTTTTTGGGCGTAAAATCAGAGTGCCTTTCTTTGAAACGTCAGCCCTGGTTGTAGGATACAGTTGAAGAAACAGTTATCGAGTCGCACAGCGACTCGATTGCTGTTTGGTTACCATCCTTGCAGTCGCAACGGTCAATCGCAACCTCCGGTTGCGATCCTTCGAGTCCCTTCGTCCTTTCGTGTTCTTTCGTTCAACCTCCTCGTGTAACCTCCGTTGACTCGCGTACCTGATATGACTTTCCTCGAGTGTAGTGTTACACTTCAGAAACGCTCAAGTCTTCGAGGTATTTCCAACATACCTGAATACCCGCGGCACAGTGGCAACTAGCTCGTTTTCCCCACTCCCGCTGATGTTGATACCGTTGGCACAGCAGGAGAAGGAAAAATAAGGGCAGCATGTCGAGAAGATAGGCTAGGTAGGAATAGGTGAAGCCATGAATATGGCGTGAGATCTAGATCTAGGAGGTAGGCGTGAAGTTTGACGAGAGAAAAGAGAACTAGGAAAGAAGAGAGGGGGATACAAGGAGGGGTGTTGTACCCTTTACAATGATGTTCAGTAACATCTACCAAGCCTAAGCTTATATGATAACTTATATAATTTAACACAGCACACATCTTCACATCGCAAATTCTTGTGTTTCTTGAAAAAAACAATAAGATTCTAGGCGGCAGGGAGGTGTTCACATGTTTCCACATCCGAGGGTAGGGTGTTGTGTATATCCAGAAAAATAAACACCCATACCCGCTCAAGCTACCCGGGGGAGCTTAATTCCAACGGGTGTTTTATACGGGGGAATATGGTAATTGGAACTTGAAGAGTTCATATATGCTGAATTTTTTCAGAGGGTTAGCATAAACAACAAGGCTCGACATAAATTGTCGCGTGGGTTGCGAATGTATCTAAGATGCACACATGGGAATGCGTCCTTATTTTGTCCCTACTGTTGATTTGGGATGTCTACTAGAACAAATGTGAGGGCGTGTCCCCAAAAATCGTCAACCCGTTTTGGACACGTAGAGCCGTCTGACGGTATGCAACGTGAATCAATTTTCAAACTGATCCCGTTTTAGGAACAGGCCAGGCGTTTAAGGGTACAGCTCGGAAGGACAGCACCCAGACCAGCACAGACATGGTGGAGGGTAACGGGGTCTCGCCATGGGAAACCATTGCAACAGGCGCGTGTAACAAAAGGAGGGTAAATCCACTATCGTAATACTAGTACCAGCTTTTGCTGTCGCGGCATACCGCGGTAGTAAATTTGGTGTGGTATGTCTTGCACCATGTGGGTGTGTTGGATTTGGCAGGGAAAGTTGTTCGCTAGCGACGTGCAAGGCCGCAAAGTTTCTCGCGGCAATTTCGCTAGAGGTGGTGTTGATATGGGATAGCGAACTGGATATTTGCGTGGTCTTTTTTTTTGTCGTGCAGAAGTACCTGGAAACGTGCGCTTGTGTCTGCCAATTTTATGTGTGAGTTCAGCGTGTCCTATTTGGGCGTGTCTTATGGTTACATGCCTAAAAGTGGTAACTGAACTAGGTGTTGAACAGGGCACGTACTTTAGTGACACGCCCTGAGTGAAATCGCAAGAGACTCCCAGAGTAGCAGAATGGACTAGAATGAATGGTACACGGTAGTTTTGACCTAATGTGTTGTACTCTCTAAGGCATGCCCCTATCTAGTCTACAGCAACATATACAAAGATGTTTGGCCCACCCCTTAGACTAGACAAGGGGCAATGCCTGGCAAGAGTCAAGCAACTCAGGGCGGCACTACTAGTCCAACCTCTGAGACTAGGGTCCGAAGACCAGTCAACAAGAGTACAAACTCCACAAGAGCAAGCCAGGGCGGCACGACTAGTCCGGCCCCTGGAACAGCAGCCACAAGGCCAGTCAAGAAGCAATATATACAAGTCCAGTCAAGAAGCCAGGGCGGCACTACTAGTCCAGCCACCGGAGCAAAAGCCACAAGGCCAGTCAGGAGAATATAATAAGAGAAGTACACAATCAAGGTCCCAGCAAGTGAGGAGCTACAGGAACTAGACCAAGCTGTAAACAGTGACGCTGATGATCTTAAGGCACAAGCACCTTAGTAAAGATATCAGCTGTGTTGGCACTTGATGCCAAGTGTACTACGCGGGCCTGGCGGCGCTGCTGTAGCTCGCGCAGGAGGAAGTACCGTAGCTGGATGTGCTTCGCACTGCCCTCGACTTGAGGCTCCTAACACAGGAAGATCATGGCCCTGTTGTCAGCGTACAGGACCGGGGAAAAGCTGGGCCGCTCACCTAAGTCGGTAAGCAAGAACGTCAGCCAGTGGAGCTCCTGTGCCGCCATGGCACCGGCGTAGATCTCAGCCTCACAGCTAGACTATGCAACAGACGAGGAGCGAGTGGACCTCCATGAGATAGCACCTGAACCAAGGCTAAAGCAGTAGCCATGCGAGGACCTGAGTGTCGCAGCGTCGTCTGCCCACGAAGCGTCTGTGTGCCCAGTAAGGACCACTAGCCTGCATCCTCCTAGCACAAGTCCCATGCCCGATGTACCTGCTAGATAATGCAAAACCCTCTTAGCTACTGACCTGTGCTGTGGTCGGTGTCTCTCTGTGGCCACAAAGCGCGCCAGGATGCTGAGAGGGTATGCGAGATCAGGATGAGTGCAAGTCATCTGGCACATGAGGCAACCCACCAGCTCTGCGTAAGGACCATTAGGCTCTACAGTCTCCTCAGGAACTGGAGCAGAGAGCCTGTGGTCTACTAGCAGAGGTGTGCGCTATGTAGAGAACTGAAGACCAAACCTCTAAAGGACCTAGCGCACCAAGTAGGACTGTGTAATAGTGATGGTCCGCGCTGCTCTGTCCCAGGGGATCTACAAGCCAAGATAGCAGCACAGCTCTCCTAGGTCAGTGCAGGTATATCTCCTGAGCAACTCAGCCTTCACGGAGGCCTGTGTGTCTCTGTCAGTAGTAGCAAAGACCAGGTCGTCTACGTAGACAAGGATATAGAATGGGGTCTGGCCAGCAAGAACGAAGAGCGAGGGATCTGCAAACAACTGGAAGAATTGCGGGTCAGCTAGCATAGCACGCAGCGTGTCGCACCACTCACGAGGTGCCTGTCGCAGGCTGTAGACCGGGCACCAGAGGAGCCATTGGGTCCCAGGAGGGAAGGTACCGGTGAAGCCTTGTGGACGGTGCAGGTAGACCTGCTCGTGTAGGCTGCCCTGAAGGAACGTTGTGGAGAAGTCGATGGAGTGTAGCTCGTAGCCACGCTGTGCTGCTACATGTAGCAGCGCCCGAAGAGTAGTCATCTTCGGGGTCGGGGCGAAGGTCTGAAAGAAGTCCACACCCTCACGCTGACTGAAGACTCTAGCCACGTAGTGCGCCTTGAGCACAGGCGGGCTCTCCAGGGGGGCGCTTCACCTTGAAGAGCCACCGCCCATCGCTACGTTCACCCCAGGTGGGGAAACTGCATCAACGTAGGTGCCGGTGGATCTCCAAGGTGCCATCTCCTGCTCCATGGCAGCTATCCACTGAGAGGCTCAGGGTCCCGAGGTCGCCTCAGCGTAAGTGCGAGGGGTCGGGATGTCAAGGGCGTCTGGGTCACCCTCAGGGACTAGTAGCATGGAGCAAAGGTGGTGAGCGGCCTTAGACAGGAAAGAAAGCTCGTACTGCATGTCCTCTAGGACTTCACTGGCAAGGGCAGGAGCACCCCCGGCGGACGGAGGGCAGGCAGGGCCACAGACCAGAGCTGTGGCGTAGTCAAGGCGGTGGGTAGAGGCGAAGTCAGCGACAGCAGCGACAAGAGTGTCAAGACGTTAGACAGGAACAGACGGGTCGGTAACGAGGGAGGCAAGGACCCGAGGAACAAGAGGACGAGCGGCACGAAAGTAGTCAGACAGAGGAGGCGGAGTGACAACGAGCAACGACGGAGGAGACGAGGGGAGGAGGGGAGGACGAGACGCGTGGGAACGAAGCAACATGGGGTGAGAGCACTGGACAGGAGAGACAAGACGAGCATGAGAGGGATGGCAAGACCAGAAGTTGGATGGAGGCGTCGGGTCGGGAGACAGAGGAGGGGTCACAGGAGGAGAACGAGGGGGGAAACGAGCTAGGGACGAGTCCAGCAAAGGAAACAAAGGGCCGTAGACAGGCAGAGGAGGCGGCGGCGGGGAAGGCGCGGGCGGGTGGTCTGGGGAGGGAAGGCCAAGCCAGCGAAGGGTGGACACCAGCCGCGGCTGCTGCTGCGGCTCCTGCCGAAACCAGAACCCCGAGCTGTACCATGGCTACCTCCATAACGCTCCACTCCAGCACCCCCAGAACGGGAACCCTCTCCAGCACCGGTGCCACCCCCAGGACCGACGAGACAAGCCACGATAGGAACCCTAGGACTAGCACCCTCCTCAACGCCCACACACCCAGAGTCCACCCACGGCTGCTGCTGCGGTGGTGATGGCGGCAGCTGCTGCGACGGCAGAGGAGGAGACACTGGGGGAGAAACAGGCGGCGACAACTGCGTCGCGGGGCCACTAGAGTTAGCCGACTCCTCGACCGGGACAAGCGACGGGAGGGGAGTGACGTGAGACACACCAGACGGAGTAGGAGGGGGAGGGAGGGGAGCAAGGGCTACCGGGGGAATGGGAACCAGAAACAGGGAGGGGAAACCGGGAGACCTCTGTGGGGAAAGCGGTGGTTAAAGGAGACAGACGTCACAGGAGCAAAAGAAGCGATGAGACGGCGGGTGGTACAAGCGCCAGTCAGACGAGTCAAGGGGGAAACCAAGGAAGAAACAGAGGACAATGCGGGCAGTGAGCTTGTCCGTGCCCGAGGCACGGACGTGAGCGAGGTAGCCCCACACGTGGAACACGGACGCGTCATTAGGAACCCGGTCCAAAGAAGGGTCGGCAAAAGGTGCGGCCGCTAGGAGTGCTGCCACAGGTTAAGCTGGTGAGCGGTGTAGCGAATGACGAATGGCTACAGAAAATGGGGTGCACCGGCATGAATCATGGAGGTACGAGCAACCTCCAAGACCAAGCCGATGCGTCACTCAGCGACCCCATTATGCTGCGGGGAGTCCCATAGGGTGTACGACTAGGTGATGCCCTCCGCACAACAGAACTGTCCAAGCCGACCAGAG